CTACGTAAGGCCTGGTGTGAAACCCGCTTTAGAAGTGGGTGGAAAACTGAAAGCAAGAATGCGTGTACTGTTCATGAATGATTAGCATTATTGATGAAATGTAGAATATTATTCCTGTACAAAGTAAAACCGATCTGCAGGGAACAAAATACGTAGAGGAACAGCGTGGAAGTCAGCTCTGGAAAACTTTGTAGAACTATGAAAATCACAAAAAGAATATTTCTGGTACTACAGTGTAGTACAGCAAATATGAAAAGGGCTCCTTAGTAATTTCAACATTTAAAAATACCGGTACGATGATGGTCTGTATTCTATGGTAATTTCTAAATGCTACTGATTGAATTGGAAATGAAATGAAATTAATAAATTATTAATTACCATAGCCATTAATTATTGTCATCCTCTTTTAAGTGCGTTTGTGCATTTGTTCAATCAAAGAACAAGTCAGTTTCTGTGAGATGGTCAAATTTGTTCAAAGTATAATTTACATTTTATATTTCTCTGTATTTGAACTTATAGACCATCATTATTCTGTAATTCACTAACTAATATTTTTTGCAGTATGCCTTTAATAATATGAGTATCTGTGGGGTGACTCACTGTTGAGCAAGTTTATAATTGGACGGCTGTCTGGATCTTGGTAGACAATACAAAACTAAAATAATGGGTGGTATTTTGTGGGAGATAACTTGAGATTTATTTTTGCTTGTACAAGAAGTTGTCAATTTGCAAAGACAGTTTACATGATGAATCTCTTAAACATGTCAAGAGGATGTATTTTGATCACTCATTGTCATTATACTGTCAATCTTGTTAGCTTTGGGGGTAACTCTGGATAATTTATTATTGTTAGGCTTAGTAACTAGACAGACAGGATACACTTTGACAGTTATCCTCCATCAACTGTATCCATAGAGTTACAAACCTAAACAAATGTCATTAGTAAAATTGACACATTTTGTAAACCCTTAACTGCTGAATTAGTTAATTCCCATAGTAGGTCCATGGTTATATACAGTAGCCACCCAGTTTCCATAGGCAATAGGTTAAGCAGAAAATCTTTTGACCCCAATATGGTATACTAATACATGATATGAAAGCTGGTTTTGGGTACAGTTTACATGTAAGTTTGCCTTCTGCATACCTTCAAGAAATAGGCAATACAAAACTATAATGACACATTTTGTAACCCCTTTACTGCTGAATTATTTAATTCCCATAGTTATATTACAGCAGCCACCCAGTTTCCATAGGCAATAGGTTAAGCAGAAAATCTTTTGACCCCAAGATGGTACACTGAAGTGCTAGTTTTGGGGTACAGTATAAATGTAAGTTTGCCTTCTGCATACTTTCAGGAAATAGGAATAAAGCATTTGTTTACATGGAACAATCATTTTAGTATTTTTTGTAAACAAGTTGTGAATAGCTCACAAAAAAGTCCACCGACCTACACAATATTAGACAAAATACTGAGAGGCTTTATATGGCTGTTTATTGTACATGTGGGCCTACATATGCAGTGAAGGGTGGAGTAGCTGGGCCATTGTACTTTGACACTATGAGCAAACAGAACATTTCAAATATCAGTTAATACTCACTCAGAGTTAGGTAACAGTGATAATAATAGGTCAATGGTCTAAAGAGTAGCAGCAGTCTGAGCATTTTACATCATAGCCTAAAATATACACAATTTAACTTCTTTTGATATACATTTGTGTGCAAAATATAGAGTAATGAAGACATGATAATCATTGTCTCAGTTCCATAATTGAATAGTTGTAACCAATTTTGAATAGATTAGTAGTAAATGGTGGGATTCAAACAGCTTTTGAAATTTGATGACTAATGATCGATATAGTCATTTACACATACAAGCTCATATTAGTGCACCCACATTGAATGCTCTTCAGCAGATGCATAGTCCATGTTCATACACAGGCAATGATAATTTTAATTAAAGTGTTACAAGTATGTAGAAGGCGTTTGCATAGACTTTTGAAACATCAACTCAAGGCAAATTCTGTAGCCTTGTCCATCATATATTGAATTATACGAACATGACAAATTGACAATTTTGTACAATCAGAACTTAATTTCTATATGATACAAAGTAGAGTATTGAAATTACTCTTAAGTCTTTGAAATCATGTTTAGACACTCCAACTCATATATGTAGCAACAAATATTTTCATGTGTATGTTTTATATATGTACTTTGCAACAGTTGCATCCTACCCAATTTAAAGACAGATTTATGCACAATTTCACCATTTTCACTTTTATATTGTCTGCTAAAAACCCAGAAGGGCATTACAAATGATATGAGTAAACACTGTTTTTCGCTCTTAATTAGCAGACAATATGAGGTTGAATACTGCCTTCAATATACACCAGGCTTCTACTGGGCCTAAACTGAAATGTACTCAATTATATTATGAAAATATTGTTTTTGATTTTGTTGATTTGTCACTTTGGTGTATATGTGTGTGCATGGTATGCAAGCGAAGAACAAATTATTCTAAATTTACCAAGACAGTAAATCAAGCGTACAGTACATCCCAGGATTAGCACAGACAGTGAAAGTGAGTCAGCCCAATCAAAACAGACACGATTCTCATATCCCGTCAAGATACTTCAATGTTCCCTGGGCTGGAATACCTTCCAGAGATATACAAACCACCTCAACATTACAAACCTCTGATGATTCATAGTGACTACCTCTCATCTCTTTAAAGATCCAGTTTAATTTCGGTAATGAAAAGTAAGTCAAGAGTGTTTTTGGGAGAGATTTATCAGCTATGGGTTGAAATATTTTGGACATTGCCACCAAGTTGCATCTGACAAAATGAGAAGTTCTTTTCTATAAAGACAAAATAAGAAAGATTAATAACTACCAATTTTTTCACTCTAACAGCTCAACCTTCCTCTTCAAGCATGCATTTTACCCATTACCATTTCTTGCCTCTGCAAAGGTTTGGTGATGCCTTTTTTTTGTATGTTTAATCTGCCACTCGGGTAATTTTGAGCATAGCTTCATCTGAGACTGAATTATAATCTTCTCAGCATTTCTGTCATTACCATGACAACAGTTTCCTTCATCGACAGATTCTCGATTCCTGTACACCCTCTCTCTCTCTACTCTTTCTCTTCTCTTTCTCTTTGTCACTCTCTCCCTTTCTCTTCCTTTCTGTTTCATTTTTTTCTCTCTCTTTCTCTCTCTCTCTACCTCCTCTCTGTATTTTCCAATGTCTCTCTTTTCCGAATGTACATGCAACACTTCAATATCATGATGAAATATATTGAAATTGCATTTGCCTTCAAAAAAAAAAAAATCAAAAAAATGATGCCTCTAGTGAGGCTCCAGATTGAGGAGATATCTTATCAACAAGTCCAAGGTTTCTGCCAGATCACCTCGCATGGAGCAGAATAATATGTTGAGCAAATAAGAATTGTAATCATAACCTCTGCGCACTGAGCTACAGGCTATGAATTAATCAATAATACATTTCAATTATGATGTGTGATGTGGTGATGGAGCATGGCATCATGGAGACACCATGCTGGTGATGATGGTGGATGTATGAAGAGAGTGATGATTCATCATAAAGATGACAGAGGCCGGGTCATGGTAGTGGTGGATGAGGAGAAGCAAAGGTGGCATTCGCACTAGAGAAAATTTATCCCAAATTCGTCTAGCGAAACAAAGAATCCTTGTATATCAATTACCCCTACTCGAATGACAATATCATTGAAAGGAACATATATATAAGGAACTATACATTATGTTTTATGTTTTGAGCCAGAAGGGCATTAAATCATATGATTTTATGCTGACTTAATGTTCTTCTGGCTCCAAATAGATACAGTGTATGGGGGCATTTCTCAATCACAATACTGCAACTGGCTGGTCATATCAGTGCATGCTTAAAATATGCCCCAGTCTGTTATGAACTCAATTTTTGTCTTTTTACACAATATTCATAGAGCTGATAGACATTGATTCACCCAAAGTTTCTCTACAATTTTCACATCATACACTATTTTTCTCATACATTAAGAACTATTGTATTGCTATCTAGGACGACAACAATTTGTAATGTGACATTCAGACAAGAAAAATATGAAGTACATGTGTTTTCATTCGGACGTTTGATAAGTTTTGTTAGTCTAAAAGGGGGTATCATAGACGTTTGAGGTCATGGTGATGTGGTTGAGAAAGAAATGATGATGGTGGTTAACTCTTGTGGTGGCCTCCTGTGTTGACAACAATGCTTGTGGGGAAATCATAGTCTTGGAAGTTGGTGAAACTGATCTAACCAGTGAGAAAAAAATATAGCCTAATGATTTATTTATCTTGAAATGCGAGGTCTGAAGAAGAAACGAAAGCAGTATTTATTACTGCTGAGTGGTGACTTGTTCAGCGTAAAATTAATTCTTTGTGAGATTTTCTAGGTGAATTTTTGTTTTTAATCTTCAACATTTTCCTTTGCTCATTTTGGTCACCTAAAACATTTGAAAAGATCTTTTGAAGTACTGATAATATTATCATATTACAGGAAGTATGAACATACGATCTATCCAAGTAAATATCTACTTTGTAAAGGAGCCCTACCAAAAGAACATACCAGTAATGAACTTTATACTGGATAAGAAACAAAGACCCCACCAGTAGTCTGATGAAGTGGTGAATCTATTGTACAACTATGATTCAAGTGTAATCTTGTCAATAATGATGTTCATTTCTACATCTGTTCTGAATCAGTTTTGTAAGATAATGAACAATTATGATCTGATTTTGCATTGTTAAAATGAAAAATAGATCAAGAGATTTTTTTCATTCAGCAATAGGCTTTAAGAAATATTTTTATCTTGTATTACAAGTAGGTTTTTAAAATTATAATATGTACTTACCATGTACTACTATTTTGTAAGTGGGACCCTTGATATTTCTTATTCTTTCTAGTTTTATCATAACACACATTATCTTTTTGTTCTTTTCAGCTTTTGGAAATGCAAAGACAAGCAGAAATGACAACTCATCAAGATTTGTAAGTATCAGTGCATTTAAACTATGTTTATATGATCTCTACAGTCTTTTCTTTTATATCTCATGCGTAGGGATGATATTGACCTATTATCAAGGAAGGTGATCTCATATGTATGATCTGACATTTTGATTACCTTGGTTACTGAGAAAGAATTGAAATGCCAACTTAGTTCTGACTATAAGGCTGGTGGTAGTCATAAAGCATCATTCAGATATGACACGGCAAAACTGCTGCATTTTTTATAACTTAAAGTGAAATATAATTAACATTTCTGTATCTCATACTTAGAGCTGATTGAAAATGTGCAAGACCTTTAGTAAATTATCTTTTTGGAGTTAAAAGGGTCTTTAGCTCATATACTATAACATACATTTAGAGTTAACGCCCTTCTGGCTCTGAACAGATGAAATATAGATGTCTTCTATTAAAACCATCAGACTACTGTTTGTTTCTTTGTTTCTTATCCGGTATAAAGTTCAAAGTGTTTTTATGGGAGGGCTCCGTCACATAGAAAATATTTATTTGAATAGATTGTATGTTCATACTTCCTGTAATAGGATAATGTAATCAGTACTTCAAAAGGCAATCTGTTTACCAAAAGGCAATATTTCAAACACGTAGCTTCAGATGCATGATTGAAATATAATAAACATGTAGTTGTCTTCTTCAATATGAAACTAGATCCCGCGTGTAAGAAATCATGAGATGTGACACAATTCCTTCGACGTAGTACATGTAATTAGTACAGATAGTTATATATTCACATGTATAGACGTGGTCATGATAGTATGGTCGTTGTAGATATGTTATGTGTTGATGGGAACAGTTTTTATGATGTAAAGAAAAATAAAATAATAATCATTACATGTATACATGGATTTATAATTTTCCTTTATGATATTAGTTTTCATGGCCCCTCACCCCTAAGAAAAAAAGAGGCAAGTGCCAACACTGAGGATAAACATTAAATAAAGTCTTTGGGTATCATTTGGTAACACTGCATTTTTTCATTGAGCCTTATTTTAGATAATTAAGGAATAGCTAGAATGTATGGCACTCATAAATATGGTATGGAACTGCTATCGATTTAATGATTATCGTGCTGTGTGTTGTTGCAGTTAAGAAAACTATGAGTTGTGTAGGAAAGGCTCTTTTTAAATTCTCATGAAACTTTCTGATGAGGTACATTATAATGACCATAATGATAAACACGGTCTGGTGATTAACAACAAACCTATTAATTTGGGGTATGTCTGTAATAATGTACATAGCACTTTTATCTAGAAAAACCATTAATGATTATAGGAAATGCTCTACTTCATTAATGGATTGTGTAAAACCATTATCCAAATAGCTTGGCTTGGAACGGATGATTGACAAAGTGCCCGCTAAAAGCATTTTTTAATGACATATTAAGATCATAACATGTAGCCTGAGCTGAGGTGATAGGGTTTATAGACTGTCGTAACAATTTTGTAAAATTAGAACTACACTCAATTATAATGTATTAATATTTTTCTCTTTTCAGGGAAAGTATATGGACATAGAGTTTGATTTCAAAGGTGATCCGGTTGGAGGTGTTATCACAAATTGTAAGTGAATCAGGAATATATAAAAATCATTAAACAGTATCAGTCAATTTTTCAAAGTAACGTAACAAACTTGTGTTAAAATCATGTTCGAATTGAATGAAAATGTTGAATAGATGTTTATGAAGAGATAAAGTTAAGAACATACATTGATTGTGTAGATGGAATAAGGTAACATCTGATACTTAGAGGGAATCTGGATGCTTTTTATACTCCAACATCGGTACATTTGACCCAATAGATTTATCTACCCTTTCCTGGGGGAAGAATGGGATCAGGGTACAAGTACTGCATTTGCTCTCTTTTAAAGCAAATTCAAGATTTATGATTTATTCACGTATCTTACAAAACTTCCATGCAATTTGAATAAGAAAGACTTTTCTGTTTTGTAATGTTATTTTTGTTATTAGTGGCATCTCTGTCTTGTATTTTCGCCCAGATTTATTGGAGAAATCTCGAGTGATATCCCAGCCTGAAGGAGAGAGAAACTTTCATATATTCTACCAGCTTTTATCAGGAGCACCAGAGCTTTTGATGCGTAAGTTTTCTAAAAGAAAAACAAATATTGGACTCTTTGAATGTTCATCTTTATCTGTGCCAGGGTCTTTCTCTGTCTACTATTCGAGCACTTGCACCTCCTTGTATAAGAAGTGGTTGTTTACAAAAGACTTTGATATTTAATGCCCTTTCACAATTTATTCTGCATATCATGTAGTTTACACCTTGAGTAATGTTTAGAAGTACATTAATGGCTTTGTGTTTCGTTCATGCCTGATCTGTAAGAGGATGAATTGAAAGACGTGAATATTGAGCTTGGGATTTGAAAGAAGGTGATAAAATGCTTGAAAAGTATACAAACATGTTGATGTTCACCACAAAGTAAAGGTGTAATCTAAATAATGGCTTTAATGATGCATGTATTATTGAGGGGCATTGTGTGTGTTTTACAACCATCACGCCCTTTCCTTTTCTCATGTCTTGCATATCAAATGAGGCATGCCTGATTGTAAAGGGAGATGTGATGTATTATTTCACAGGTCGTCAATTCTTTTCAGAATATAATCTAGGTCAATGTAGGCGATGAGGGAAGGCCTTATATTCATACATGCATGCGTGCACCTCTAAAATAGAAGAGTGAAATATTTTGTTTGAAGTGATGCTAATTACAGGGGAGGATAGCATTCTGCCACACACAATAATATTGTGGGCGAGGCCTTCATATTCAACACAGTATTGTCAAGCATAATTAGCATAATATTTGAGATTGCCCCCACAATATTAGGTCAAAATAATAGTGAAATTAGGTTTATTTTATAAATAGTGAAATGCATGTATTTGATTGTTTTTAAGTAGGTATTGATTGACTGAGTGATTTATTTTGCCTACAAACAGACAAACTCCTTACATGTTTATGAGGGACTTGGTAACTGAGGGTTGAAGCCTATTTATTGTGAACCATTGCTTTCTCAATTTTATTTTTGGCAATTGAAATTAAAACAAAACAATAAAACATCTGAGAAGTACAAATCGAGTTAGCTAGCTTAAATTCATACAGAGAATTGCTAAATTAATCTTTCGTTCGTGTCTCCTTAGATCAAGATAGTTATGTAAAGTTCCTTAATTAAAATTAAATTAAATTAAAATAAGTTCATCCATCGCCCGATTGCTGCAATGATCGTTTCATTAAAAAGGGCCAGGTCTTCATCTGTGCAACCCGGCCGTTCCGCCGCACTTCAAGATGTGGTCCATCGTCTGAGTCTCTCCTCAGTCGCAGAGAGTAAATTAATGATGAGACATAATACACTTGTTGAAGATTGTGCTCAGACTTTTTCTTTGGCATTCAGATATAACTAGTGATGGACATGATGGTTATCACTAAGTCTCATCTTTCCTTCCATATTCTTAACTTGTAGATGAACTGGAATTGAGTCGTAATCCTGAAGACTACCATTACCTCAGCCAAAATGGATCACATGACACCAGTAAAATCAATGATAGAGATAACTTTGCTATTACACAGGTAAATAAACAGAATACTTTCACAAAATTCCTATGAACATTTTTTTTGCCGTGTATTGATTGTTTATCCTCAGAATATTGTCAAATGTTATATTGTAACATATTTCTGTTGGCATGAAAGATAGAAGTAGTATTCAGGGCCTCTTTGATGAAAAAATTTAGGTGGGGCACGGGCAGATTAGAGTGTATTGGTGTGTGTCACTGTTCTTGGAATTTTAGAGATTACACATTTCCAACCATGTACTTCTATTTTCATCCGATTGCCAAGTGCTGTCGCTGAAATATCATTTGGTCTGCAACCAAAATATGAGATTCTATTTAGCAAATGGTTTATCTGATGTGGGGTGGGAAAAAACACTTCTTATTTTCTTTCATTAAGTGAAAAACAGGAGATGCATTGATATTAGCCAAAGTGAATATATCCTGGTGTGAAAGAAAGATAAGGAGAGGTTGATATATCCAGGTGTTGGGATTTGGGAGATACATTTCAAATATACCGTGACCTGTTTGTGCTGTATTCATGCAGGATTAGCAGCTCTCCTGGAAATGAGGAAAGTCCATTGAAAATGAGTTTCCTTTTTTTATAGTCAGGGGCAAGTCAAGAAATTTTTGAGGAAAATCATTCACCGTAGGAATTACTGTGATGGCTTTATTAGTGTACCTGTATCACATGCCTTCTTGAATGATCCTGAAATTTGTTGGCTGCCTGCAAGAAAGTTGTTATTGCCATTGAAAATACCTAGCTCTTTAACATGGGCTTCTGGAAATAGCGTTTTCATGAAATGCTGGGAACCATGTGAATGTGAAATCAATAAAAATGATTACTCTTTAGTCATTAAATATAGTGATGTAATCAAGAACAGACTTTGTTATGTGAGACCCTACACAACCAACACACTTCAGAGATTTACATGTTGGCTATGAGACTTCATTAGAAATGCATGATTTAAACAATGTTTCTTTTAGATCAACTCGTTTCTTGCCCCCAATTATTTGATATGGTGCCAAGCATGATTAATCCCATTATGCAAAGTTTCCCTTGTACCAGCCAGTTTGCCCGTTTGAGTAGACTGGAGGTGGAGAAACAAGGGACTGCTTAGGTTTAAAAACTAATTAGGAAATTAGGGATTAACAGAATATCATTCAATTAAACAATGTCCACGCAGTGCCTGAAAAAGAGAGAAAACCTCTCAACGTTTGTACTTAAAGGAAGTTACATTTAATTAACTAAGTTAATGAATGTCAGTAAAGGGTCACCCTTTGACATTTCTTCTCACATATGATCATGTATTTTGACACTTCTTTATATAAAACAAGAGAAATTAAACAGTTATGAAACAGTTACACTGTTTGTTTTTTCACTTGATTTTCATCTAGGAAATCAAATTATGTATTGTACTACTATCCTGATATATGATGCTCATGCAACAAATCCTCTTTATCAAATAATGGGCTTGCATGAAAAGCAGTTTCTATGAAAATACATGTAACCTGCATTCTCTTTTAAATAATTGAAATACATGTACTTTGTTTGTTCAAGTAGTATATCCAATGACCAGATAAAAAAAACGAGTTCATTGTCTACATTGTATGTGTATGAATGTTTGTCTTGCCTTTTTGTCTTGCCTTTTTGTCTTGCCTTTTTGTCATTGTAAATGTAATTTTAAATACAAGTAGGAAATAGGCAGAAACTAAAAATAAACAAAGTAGGAAGAGACTGATGTAATATAGTGATGCGGATATTAAGGAGTGTTCTGTTATGTTGACATTTCAGAAAGCCATGCAGATCATTGGGTTTGCTGACGAGGAGATCTTAGGTGTCTACAAGCTCTTAGCGAGCATCCTCAAACTGGGTAACATCAAGTTCAAGAAGTATGTAACCCACAACGGAACAGAGGGAGTCAAGATCATGAACCAAGAAGGTGCGTTCTTCCTTCTTTTCCTACTCCTCCTTTTCCTTCCTCTTCTCTCAAAGCTTATTCATCTTGAGCTAGGAGAAGATGAAAGGTGCTGCAAATATAGATTCATGAATCCTAAATGGTAGCCTATTTAGGGGGTACAACTGGTCCTTACCTCCCCCATTTTTTAACCCAAGTGGCACATCTAAAGCTCACCAAAGAAAAATGTGTTCACCATAACTGGGTTCATGGCTCCCTTTCACATTTGCGACCCAAAGGCACCTGTCTTTTTTCCTGCTTGTCAGAAAGTTTCAGAAATTTACAAATTGTGCTCCCCCCTACAAAATCCTGAATCCACCCAGATTAAAACTCTAGCCAACCATATGACAGACACCTTGATTGAAACGAACATTATTAAAGACCTTGCAAACAAATTACTGTGTACCGATGGTGTTTGATCTGTTCAAAGTGCAAATAATTTTTAGGTAGTTATGAAAGTTAATATTGAGTGTCCTTAATAGATGACCAGTAGGTTGTTTAATGAAGGCCCATTCAGATATTACACAGCAAAACTGCTTCATTTACACATTTAAAAAATGCAGCAGCCTTTTTTGCGGCGGTTTATCATGTCATATCTGAACGAGCCTTAAGAGTTAAATGCTTTATTGTGGACTTTGGATATTGATACAGCTTTAGCCCACTTGACATTCAATATAATGGCTGGCTTTTTCTAGTGGCAATATACAATCTAGGGCAAGGTTTTGGGACTAACTGCAACAGGAGGCAAATAACAAAAGTTTGAAGAGTAAAGAAACTTGGAAAAAATTGATGTAGGTCCTCTTTGTTTAATATCTTTCTCTCAAAACCATCACCCGCAGAATAAATGGCTTTTTTCTTCTTTTATGAAGCCTATACCTGTTCATAAAATGCCCCAAAGCAATCATCTTTGTTCTTTCATGTTTCTTGGAATGTAACATATGTTCTTTGTTTGTGAAACACTTACAGTACTTATTTTGACACTCCATGGCTAAGCAGTGAATCTCAGTTTTTATGTTTCCTTCATGTAATGAATGAGAGATTTCAAATGATAATGATAACAATATGCTGTTCTTATATAACCCATATCACATTATGATGTAACATCTCTAATTGTTTCTAAAGGACATTGGGGATTATTATCCCAGCTGTAGCTCTGGCAAATAATACATTATCATTTTTTAATTTAAAAACTTGACTTAAACAAAAAAAAGAAGCATAAAACTTCGATATTTTTTATTTAAAATTGGACAAATTTGTATCTCTCACTGACAGAAATGGACAGTGTATGTGACCTGTTCCAGTGTGAACGTCACAGTGTAATGGGGGCCCTTACCAAGCGGACGATGTATGGGGGCAAAGGTGACAAGGTCACGACCACCCTGAGCGCATCTCAGGCATTCTATGCTAGGGATGCCTTGTGTAAAGCCATCTATGATCGGCTATTCTCATGGATTGTCAGGACCATTAATGAGAGTATCAGGGTAAGTCAAGTAAACGCACAAAGTTCTTAAATCTTGTATTGGGGGTAGGTAGGTGTAGGGATGAGGGTGTCAAAGGCCCATAGTGTGGCCAAGGCATTCCATGCCAGTGACGCACTGTAAATTAAGCCATCTATGATTGGCCATTCTCATAAATTGTCAAGACCACCATCAGAGTATCAGGGCAGGTTCTTGGTGAGAAGGACTCATTGAGTACTTAAGCTGGTATGCCTGTGAAGGATGAGGGGGTTGAAGAAAGGATACATGTTATTGCATTCAGATTACATATCTCTTAGATCATATCAGTGTTTCTGTCTACGAAATTATGTTCCTTTTAGAGATTGAAGGCTACTTAAAAGAGACATGTTCATGACTATGGCATGGCTACAGAAGCTATCAATTAAGTAATTTGCTTTGCAGCAATTCCACATCTATGTCTGAAAATGAAAATTTACACCACTAATACCATGATATGAATGATGAATCACTTTTAAAGCAGGACCATTGGTTTCATGACATCCTAAATTGTGCTCATGTATGGATAAGCCTGATGGCCGATGCCATGAGTATTCATCCTTGATGCATGGAAGGTGATATAGCTTATAAACAGACCACATAAACAGACATGTTGAATATTTGGCATATCATACCCTCATCTGTGCCAAGACAATCTAGAAAGGCTGTTATCTTTGTCCTTACCTTGGTGTCAAAAACTTGTTTATGCAATGACACTATTCCTGATGGAATATTCACATCATTTGTTTTCCCTTCCTATTTCTGTATATTTTGTTTCCTTATTATCTGCAGGTGAGAAAAGGGGCTGCCAAGAAAGTCATGGGCGTACTGGACATCTACGGGTTTGAAATCTTCAAGGTAAGATGATATCTATTCTCTACTTCAAATTAGATGGAGCTTTCTACTTTCAGCCTCATCATTTATCCTAATGGGCATTTCTTCCAAGTTATTGTTTTGATCCATTCGTACAGTATGTTGTGTTAAAGGAAATGACCTTGTATCACTTGTGAAGTTAGCTTTGAACTGTATCGTTTTCTTTTCATTAGATAATATAACTATAATGTTAAAGGCGAAGAAAAGAAATGGGGGAAAATGCCAAATGATTATTGATCAGGGCAACAGACAATATATTCAAGATTAATGAAATGCTAAGAGGTACTGAATGACATGACAAAAAATAAATTAGAGTTCGCCTTCAGAGGTTTTGGGAAGAAATGTCGTTTGATTTTAGTGATTGGTAAAAAGGTTCATTGTCACTTCTTAAGATTTTAAGAGACATTATTTGTAAGTGCTATTCTTAGTGCTAAGTCACACCAATGAGACCAAGACCAGACTCACAACAGACCAAACAAACAATTGTGTTTCCAGGAATGGCCAAAAATCTGTCAGTTTGGAGTTGGTGTAGAGTCTAGTTAGCGGTGTGTCCGGTACTAAAAATTGTATTCATAAGGGTAAGACATCGTTATTCTGTTATTTACATGACACAGAAAAACTACTTTGAGCAGTTTATCATCAACTACTGCAATGAGAAGCTTCAGCAGATCTTCATAGAGCTGACGTTGAGAGAGGAGCAAGAAGAATATATCCAGGAAGGCATCGAATGGACACACGTTGATTACTTTGATAATATCTCTATATGTGATCTCATTGAGAAGGTGAGTTGTCATGTTAATCGCTTAGCTCTGTACATGTCTCACTAAGGGTGTGTCCTTGTTTGCCTTAGCTGCTGTATGTATCTCTAGCTACTGTTGTCTGTGTGTTCAGGCTCAAATTATCATCTCTCTATCTTTCTTTCACTCTCACAAATGTTTCTCTTTCTCTTTCGCTCTCTCTCTCTCTCTCTCTCTCTCTCTGTTTTTATATCTCTCTGCATATTGCAGTCTCCATCTCTACATCTGTCTTTCTTCTCTATATGTCTTTTTATCTTTCTTTTTCCTTATGTCCGTCTCTTGGTCTCCTTCTTTGATTTACTCCCCTTCCCTCTTTTTTCTCTCCCTCACTCGTTTTCCCTCATTCATCTTTCCCTCCCTTTCTTTCTTTCTTTCTCTCTCTCTCTCTCTCTCTCTGTCACTGTCTCTGTCTCTCTCTTTCTCTGTCTGTCTGTCTCTCTCTCTCCCTCTCTCCCCTCTCTCTCTCTCTCTCTCTCTCTGTCTGTCTCTCTGTCTCTCTCTCTCCCTCCCTCCCTCTCTCTCTTTGCCTCCCTCCCTCTCTCTCTTCTATGACATCATATCATATTTCATTGTACTTGGATATGCTGGTACGTACATGTACAACCGATCTTTTCATTTGCTGTGTGATCACATCTATGACAAGGACGTCTCATCTATGACAAAGGCTATTCATGTATATCAATAGATGATGTACACATAATAACAGAAATCCAAGATAGAATGTATGCGAGAGAATTCTAGTTTTGATCTTTGAATAGTGATACTCAGGCCCATGATGAAAAGCCAATCTAATTTGGAGGTCTATTTTTTTTCCATCTTAATAACACCTTTTTATGTGTAAATGTACATTAGCTTTGTGGCTTCTACATGTATGTATGTCAGATATTCACAATATTTATCCTTCCAATCTGTCAGTGTGTGTTTAAACTATTAATGCTTCATTAATATTATTTGCTCCTCATTATTTTATTCTTCACACACATGTAGCTTGCACTTTTCTCATTTTGCTTTGCCATTTTCTTTAAATGCTTCATTATTTTGCAATCATTAATGTGTCGATCAATATAAAAGGAGAGAGAAGATGAGGTGAGTATAGAATGCTATAGAGAAGTAACTTTGTTTCCATCGTGTTAGAGTTTCCTTTGCATGATTGTATGTTGCATAAGTATTATCCTCAATGATCCTTTAATCATAATTTAAACAATGTCCTTTTAGACCTTCAAAACATTGTATACTCTGCAATTTCATCTCATATGTTGATTTCAATAACAGTTTAGTTTATAGTTCACTCTTTCAGCATGCAAAAACATGAAGTACTTATCTGTTATTTCCTCCTTAAAAAGGAGATATATGCTTGCCCATATTTTCATGATAAAACCAACCAACTTTCAACTGATTTGAATGCCTTAGAATCAAGATAAAAATAGAAAGCTTGCGTGGTTGGGAGTAATGTATACATTGTACTGAAACTAAGCTACAATCAAACTCTCCATCTGGATGCAGTACGGTGATACATACATGCATTCTTTGGTTTCCAAGGTTACAGAGTATGAAAGAAGAACTGAGCTCATATGTGTTAAAAGGTCATTCTTTTATTGAAGCTGAATAATATTGACATAGGGAGTAACCCTACTGAGAAAGCTAGAAGCATGGCAAGTCTACCCTTTTCTTAAATGCTTGTATTGTTACTGGAATAAAACAA